AAAAAAAAAAAAGTTTATAATTCAATAATTTTGCCCTATATCCACCCTCAACAACATCTTAAATATATACATATATTTACTTATGGACGTGTGTATATGTAGGCACAGTTGAGGGTTAACTCAGGCCTGGTTTGGTCAAACCCCACACATTCCAAAGGTCCTCAGGACTGACCCTGGCTCCCCTGGGAGATAACCTCTAAGCCCTGGGAATAGCCTACTTAATCAAAGTGGCTCTGTATGCCTGGGCCTTGGGCCATGCCAGGTATTTTCTGGTAACAATGTGATTTACAGTGAATGCTTATTTTTATTTGTCTGGGACCCTCAGTGATGCTGTATCAGTTTGACCTCTGGGGGTGACTGAAGGCTGAGTAGCTAAGGTCAGTCACCAGAGCACTCCATGACAATATGACCAACCCCCAATACTAGGTCTGGACACCAAGGATCCAGTGTGCTTCCTGGTTGTCACACATGTTGTACTTGCTGGGGACGCTAAGCACTGCCTGCTGTCTGTGTGACTCCACTGGGAAGGGACAACTAAGTGCTTGAGTCTTGTCTTTCCTAATCTCCACCCAATGCACCTTTTTCCACTGTTGCTTTAAATCCGTATCCTATTGTGTAGTAAACCCTAACCATGGGATAACAGCGTTTCTGAGTTCTATGAGCCCTTTTAGTGACTCATCAAGTCTCAGGGTGATCTTGGGGATTCCAATGCAACCAACATGTATGTGTGTCGGTATATATACCCATTCCACCGGTTGTGAAATCCAAAAGCTTCATGACCCTGGGTCTCAGCTCCCTCTCCATCCCCACTTCCACATCCCTGGAATCTACCTTACCTCACCCACCTCATCTCTGCTTCCTCGCTCCATTTATAAATGAGGAAATATGGGCCCAGGGAGATTAAGTAATTATTCATATACTATATCAAACATTATGATATCAAGCATTACATAATATAATTATTATATATAATGATTTTAAATATAGTTAACATTTATTGTATCCATAGTAAGAGCTAGGCATTACTCTAAACAGTTTTCTTAATTGAACTCATGTATTCTTCACAAAAATCCTCGGAGCTAGTAACTCAAATTCCCATTTATAGGTGAGGACTCCCTGAAGCCTTGAATGACAGACTTGCCAGAGGTCACCAGCTAGTAAAGGGAAGAGTGAGGGTTTGAGTTCAGGTATATAGACTCTCGACCCCAGTTCCTAACCACTGTGTTAGAGTGTCTCAGTGAATGAGTGAATTGCCTATTGCAATGAACCCTACCCCACCTTTAGTTCACTTCTTTGGGGTTATCAGCATACCCTGTCTATACCAAAGCAAGCATTTATAACTAATGACTTAGACCAAAGAATGTTGGCTTATACAGCAGGGCCAACGCACCCAGCCGTACAGGCTGTGCCGTTTGCCACATGTGCTATGTGAGTGTCACCTCCTGGGGACGTTCAATTCAGTGGCCTTACACTGAATCTAATTGCTGGGCAATTGGGCAATTGGAGAAGTTAAATGCCCACTTCAGGGCAATACGAGGTTTATAACAAGGATCTATTCCTTTATCTGCAAAGAAGATTCCATTCAGAGGGCAAAGGTTACATGCTTATGGTGTAGTTTGCTAAGAAATTCTGAGGATACAAAGATAGATCAGATAACGTTTCTGCCCTCACATTTCTTACTATCTCATGAAGGAGACAGATCAATGCTACTGCACACAAACCATAAAGCAGAGAACTCAATTTAAATAGAGAATCACACAGCCATCACTGTTTACTTACAATAATACAATAAACTCATCATCATTTGCTGAGATGCAGCACAAGTAGGCTGTTAAGAACACAGATGGAAGAGAGTTGGAATCCCAGCTCCATTGTTAGAGGTTTTGTGACCTTGGCCATGTTTCTCAACCTCTCGATGTCTAAATTTTCTCATGTGTAAAATGTGGGTAATAATAATATCATCTACCTCCTAGGGGTGTTAGGAGGCTCAAGATTAGTTAACATTTGGAAATGTTTAGCACAGGGGCTGGCACGTGGTAAGTGCTAGGTAATTGTCTATTAAGTAAGTATTGTGATGCTTAGAGATACCTTTTTTTTAAATCCTGACAAGTTTGTTTTTCTTAATATAGCTCATATATTTAGAAAACTTTAGTCAGCTTATGTCATGTGTACTCATTCGGGGATAGGAGGAAAGGATAATAGAGGAGGGGAAATACTTTATATTTGTACCATTGCTTTTCCTCACCATCAACAGAATGAAAATTTCCTCAGGATGAAGAGCTTCTGGTTCCAGGGAAGCTGTAAAACACACTAGAGGTACTTCACTTCACAGAAACAGCCACATGCAAACATTTTATGAACTCTTAACCAACAGCTGAGGAAATTAAAGCCAAATTTAAAGGCTAGGTGGGAAAAGGCTTGAATTACAATCCAAATTCAATTTGCTTCAACTGAATTCAATGACTTAAGACAAGAACTGGAAATTTCAGGGGCTCACAACATAAATTCAAGTTTTCAGTTTATCTCATTATTATCTTCTGCAGTATAAACACATTGACAATGAATCAAATTTGAATGAATCAAAATTCTAACATGCAGTGATATTTGGTTACTCTACTTTAGTAGGTACAAATATTTTTATACATTTGCCTAGAGTCTAACAGGAAAAAGCATTGGAACAAGCAAACAAAAAAAGACTTATTTGTTGCATTGTCCTTATACTGACTATTTAATAGAGAAAATAAGTACCAACATACACAATAATTATGTGTTCACCTCTGAAATATTTAAAGGAGCAATTGACCTTCACTGATTTCACTGGAAAGTCCTAGAAAATACTGTGATAAGCTGTCCAAAATAGCTTCTCAGAAACTCTGAGCAAAATGGACAGCTTTATTTTCACATTATCTATTTAAAAATATAAGGACAAGAAAGGGTGGTTTAATAAAAATACACAAAGTATAAGCTGAGTACAATTTCTCATTCTCTTGCTTCTTACACACTAAGATTTTTTTTTAATGATAAAAATTACCTGATTAACCCTAAAGAAAGAAGGAAAGGAGAGGGAAAAAAAAAAAACCACAAGAAAATAAATTAAAAAATAGATTTAAGTTAAATATACCAGTAGTGATCTTAATGCAAAAGGACTAAATACACCACAATTAAAACTCAAAAATTATTAGAATGGATTAAATAACAGTAATATACTTTCAAGAGACACATCAAGATACAAAGATCCAAAAAAGTTTTTTTAAGTAGATAAAGATATATTATGCAAATATTAACTGTAAGGAAACAATATAAACAGAATAAGCTTTAAGGCAGAAGCATTACTAAAAATAGAGAAATTTTATTATGGTAGAAATGTCAGTCTACCAGAAAGATGTAAAATTCAAATTTGTATGCACATAGTATATTCTCAAAGCATATAAAGCAAAATTTGGTAAAAACTAAAAGGAGAAACAGACAAATTTGTAATTATAACGAAAGACTTGAACACACTTCTCTCGGCAATTGATAGAACAAAGACACTCTCATACATAATGAGAATATAGACAATTGAAATACACAATAAACAAAATTGACCTAATTGATATATGTAAAACACTGCACCATAAACTTCAGAATATATACTATTTTAAGTGCACATAAAACATTTACCAGAATTGACAATGTGTGAAGTAACAAAGCAAATCTCAACAAATTTAAAATTAATGAATACAAAGAAGTTCTATTACTATAGCAGGATTAAGCTAGAAATCAATACCAAAAATTTCATTTTAAAAAGATAAAATATTCTGAAAATCAGGAATACACTTCAAAATAAACTATGGGATAAATAATAAATATACAAATTTAAAAAATTTGTTGAGCTAAAACATAATGAACATGATATCTCAAAACTTATGAAATGCAAGTAGAGCTGTGCTTAAAAGAAAATTTTGTCTTTAAATGCTTATATAGAAAAGAATAACGGCTGAAAATAGATTATCTAAGTAGCCATTTTATTAATATAGAAAAAGTATAACAAATTAAATCCAAAGAAAGTAGAAGACAGGAAATCATAAAGATAGGGGTAGAAATCAATGGAATACAAAACAAACCTATAATAGAAAAAGATCAACAAAGCCAACAGTATTCTTTGAAAAGACTAATAAAATTTATAAATCTGAAAATATTGACAAAGGAAAAAGAGAAAAAAATACAAATTACCAATTATCAATATCAGAAATAAGTTATAGTTCCTGCCAATATTTGAACCTAATAAAAATTATCAAAAAATGTTATGCCAATTCATTCAAAATTTTAAATGAAATAGATACATTTCTAGAAAAACACAACTTATCAGCACTGTCAGAGAAGAAATAGAAACTTTGACTAGTCCTATATTTATAAACATATATTTCTATATTAAATAAATTGAATAATAATTTAAAAAATCCTCCCACAAAGAAAAAAATCTAGTTACAAGTGGTT